CTGGCTTGTCCCCTCCCCCCCCCCGACTTTTACCTAGGTGGGTGCAAATATGTTTGGGTGGAACCCATTTCTGCTGGGGGAAGGGCTGCTCTCTGCTGCTCTGTGTGTGTGGCTCCAAAGCGTGTCTCCTTCGCCACCAGCAAACGGTCCGGTCCAATATCACCTCTCACCGCCCTCCCCCCCTTCAGGTCCCACCCCCATGGAATCCGAGGGACTGCAACGTTCTTTCCGCTGGGCCCGTTCTTTCCGCTGGGCCGCGTGGCCAGGAGCCGGTCTGAATGGAAGCGCCGTTCCACGCAGCTAGTGTGCCAGTGTCGCGTCGCTTTCCCCGCGTTGCATGCGGTGAAAGGGGCAGATCCGCGGGGCACAAGATCCAAGCTAACCTCTCGGTCCGACCTACCCCACAGGCCCTTCCCAAGCAGGATTTTCCAGTTCCTGCAGGCATCCCTTTCTTTTGGGGGCTCAAAGGCCAGGCACGAGTCAGAGGGCGTGGGGAGCTGGGTTCAGTGGGGCTGGACCCGGCGGCTCCATTCCCTGGTGTGAAGTGTTTCCTACCATGTAAACGGTTCTCAGTGTGGCTCAGTGGCTCTCTCCCCATACGCATCGTTCCCCTCCCTCTCCCAGCGAAGGGCAGGTCGACACACGAGTCACCTAGACGCAACAAAGCCTCTGGTTTCCTTCTTTGTTCCCCCAAGCCCTTATGCCGGAGCTCTGCTCCGGTTTCGGTTTTGATTTATATTCCAGGAGGCCTACAAGACCCGATCCGGGGGCAGGCCCCCATTGTATCTAGGACGCACCACGAGCCCCGCTGCTCCCCGAAAGCTTTTGAATGGGAGGCTTAGAGGGTGCGAGCTGCAAGGATCCACTGTCAGGAGTTCAGCGGGTTAAGGCGCCCAGAAAACGGTAATTCAAACACGTCTCAAGGAGGGGGCCTGAACCTCCCCCCCCCCCCCCGAGCCAGCTCCAGGCAGGGTCCCCCCAAAAGCCCTCTCCCCCCGCTTGCAGCCACGTCTCCTGATTAGACTGTCCCGGGCGCGAACCAGCGCAGAACCCTCTCTCCCGGGACAGGGGATCCCGCTCCCTCCGCGCTGCGCCTGGCTGGGTGCTCTTAAAGCGCCAAACTCCGGCTCTGTTCTCGCCCTTGCGTGGCCAAGCCCCATCCATCCCCGACTCCTGAGCAGCAGAACCAGCCCTTGAGAGCTGCGACCCGGCGGGTCCGTCAGCCCCCGCTCCTTTAGACAGCTGGGCGAGCAAGCAGACAAACAGCCCGCCCCCAGCCACAAGAAAAGGAAACCCACACAACTGGAATCCCCCCTTGAACGGGTCTTGAGCGTTGCGCCGGGAGCCTGGCGCAGCCCGCATCCTTGCACTAGAGCGTCAACGTGACGCGTGCACTAGTGAGCACCCGCGTGGGAGGCGGCGGTGGAACCGTGTGTTCGTGAAAAGCGGCAGCAACATCAAAATCGGTTAGTGAAAACGGAGTATGTGCCATAAGCTAAAAGGCTAAGAGCAAGTTTGAGACGGGAATGTATGAAACACAACCTCCCCCGGCTACATCTCCCCTCACTTCGCCCTACGGGGTGCGGGTGGAGGGAACTTGCACATCTTGGCGTCAAATGACTCCCAAGAGCGCATTTTAATCCCACGTGGTAACGGGATTGTGACCATTTTATGGCCAGAGTCCCCTCCTCCCCCTTCCGTTGACAGGAATTTTTCTATCCAGTTTATTTCTGAGCAGGATTGGGCCCAGCCCCTTGGGTTTTGCAGGAATCCTTGTTTAAAAAAATTACAGCCCCCCCCCCCCCATCACCTGAAAACCCACCAGTGTCGATATGGAGCCGATTAGTCTGCGAAAGGCTTTGGCTGTGAAAAGCCAGCGAGGGCAAGGCAGAATATGCATGTAACTGCTATATAAATCCATGCCACAATCCCTCCCTATGCCGATGCCCATGATGTCGTTTAAAGCAAACTCGCCCAGCAGTCTCCTTCTGTTCTCCTCCCCTGCACACAGGGCTTGCAAGGGGAAAACATTTGCATTGGAAAAGAGCCCGGGCCCGATCCTGAAAGGCTCTTACTAGCACAACTTTATCCAAAGTCGCCAAGGGAGTAAGACCTGCTCCCGCGGGCCAGAGCACGCCCCTTTTGGCCTTGGGCGAGTCCCTTTGGCATATGAAAACGTGAGCGGTTGCATGTTGGGACGCACTGATTTATTTTAAAAATACCCCACCCCAAAACAAACAGGAAAAGAGTTGGAATGTGCGTGTCTACACTGTGCGGCTGGGTCACACACACAGTTAGGGGCCGGATCCTGCACCACCGAAGACCAAATTAACAAGGCGTGGGAGTGTGGGGAGGCGGAGGAAAGGGGGAGGTTGCCAGCAGAACTCTCACCTTTTCTGGGGGAATTAAAAAAGAAAAAAAAAAAGCCACCGACAGGCAGAGCAATAAGATGATCCCTGGTTTTCAATGGCACCAAACGGGCGAGGTTACATTACAGAATTAACTGCGCCGAAGTCGCTCTCTCTTGTGAATTCGATGCGCGCTGTCGCACAGAAAGGGTGCAGACACAAACATCGAACCCGTTGGAGGAACAGACTGCCCTTCCCTCCCACGAATCTGAGCTGGTCTGTCGACACCCCCCTTCTCCCCCAATAAGTCCTGTGACTAAATTCATTTCTGCAGTAGCGTCCAGGCGGTCTCCTGGGGTGTTTCCAGTTAGGAGGGAGAGTCTGAAAACAAGCTGAGAAGCCCATATATTTCTACAGAAATGCCTACATAGAGCCGTATGTGTTTTATCTATTTGTGAGGCTCACCGGCAACCTATGCTTTAAATATAGTTAAGCTTCAAATAATGAAAATCGACAACTTATTCTAGCGAGGTCTAGTCTGTATTGATGTTACAGCTGCTTCGCCTGGAATTTCAAGTATCATCTGAAAACTGTGTCCTTTGGTCATTTAATAAAGTTTTGCCTTGGTGTGGCCACTATGTAGCTGGAAGGGCACCGAACAGCGGGTAGAATATTCCCAGGGGAAATTTTCCTGTGACATTGAATATTTCTTTTAGTCTCGCGTTATCCAATCGTTAAGCAACGCTTTCTGGAAACTACCCTGGAAAGGAACTATTTGAAATGAACTCAGACACCGCCCCCCAAAAGTTCTTTTGTTAGTAAAGTGGCAACGCGCAGATTTTCATTTAAAAGGTAAAAATCTTAAATTGAGGTTCTGTCTTTCTACCCCTGAAAAACTTTCTGGTGATACCGCCGGGCGAAGTCCCGTAATATTTTTTAAATCCACAGCTGTAGTCATACAGCTACCCAACGTAATGGGGATAGATTTGCGAAACCAATGCAAGAGCTAGAAACGTTGTCCTACTTATTCCACTCTGGAATCGGTTTTGCAAGCCACCTGCCTCTTCTTTTCCTTGTTCCCAGCGCCGAGTTTTGATGGTTTCACCCCTACCTCATAAAAAGAGCCAACTGTGCGTGACAAGAACAAAACCTGTTTCTCCCTCCCTCCCTTTTGCGTTCTGTTTCTGAAACGAGTTGGCTCCTCATTCCTAAACACCCCTGTCCCGTGTATTACCCACGAGCCAATGGAAATAGGTATCGAGCAAGGCTTGGAAGTACAATGTCATCAGCCTTCCCCACCCCTAACTGTTTTGGGTGTGGTCTTTCGAAGATGACATTAGAAAGGGGTGTGCTATTCATATTATTAATATGATCAACATGATCAATACTACACTATAATACCTGTCCCTAACAATATCGAATAGTGCTATTGCTTATTATATTTATTATGAGTTGTTATTGATTAGCTATTAGTGTTTAACTTTCTCCCCTGCCTGAGTCTATGGGTGAGCTAAAAAGGACGTGGCTTGGGAAGAGGGGGGCTTTTGCTGGCCATAGATTAGTTCAACTTCAGGCGAGGGTGTTCAACAAGCAGCGTGGATCCCAGCTGCTTCGGCACTAATTTGCCCTAGAATTTCTAGGATTGCTAGAATTTCCCTTCCAGTTCTAGGATTCTAGGATTTCGCTCTCTCTCCCCATTGTTTACCCCCTCCCCCCCATCACACATGTGCTCTACTGTGCCCTGGTCTCCTCCTGCCTGGTGGGAGAGTTGCGGGTGGGGGGAAGGGCTCTATTTTGATGTCATTATAGTTGCCGTGGCAACCCATTGGCTCATGGCTCTGGGTGAACCTGGTGACAATGGCTGGATTTAAGAGAAATCGGTAAATGCGCAGCAGAGGGACACCGCTATATTAGCGCGAACAAGAGCGAGGATTTAACATGTGACCCTTCCAATTAGAGGGAAGCACCTCCACCCAGCTGCCTCCGCAGCCCGGGCCCCACGTTGGGAGCCAGAGGAGGAAGGGAGGGGGGGGGAAGGGGAGGACTTGCAATCCAGCCAGGCTTTGCATGGGTGGTGCAAAGCCGCGGCGCAACCATCCCGCACAGGAGCGGCGTGAACACAATAAACAGCAACGCAGCGCGGAAAAGCACCAGCCCTCGCTCGCAGGCTGTTCCAGAGCGGCGGAAAAGCGCCTGGCTTTGCCTTTCCAACCCCCTTTTCACCCTGCTGGCAGGGCAAGACACAGGGACACAGCAGGCGCAATCCAACAGCGCCATGGATGCTGACTTTTGCACGTCCCTGGTCCCCGAGCAATGTAAACCGACCCACATCGCTTCGCATTCTGTGCTAGTCTCATCCCGGATTCCTCTTCGCTTAGAATAACGTGGGGCGTAGCGGCTCTCGCGGTGTGTCAGTCCTCCCCCCTCCCTGAAATACAAACGGGAACTCGCTCAAGACGTGCTGTTATGGCTCCTCTTTTTTTTATAGGCTCTCCAACTTTTGACATGGGCCGTGCTCCGTTTCCACAGAAAATCAGCCGAGGATTCAAGTTCCCTGAACCACTTGTAAAGTGAAATGCCGGAGTGGGAGACCGGGACGCAGGTCTAAACGGAAGAAAACGTGGCAATCGGTCAGGCAGGTTTTGCTGGACGGTGAGCGGGTGAGGTTCGCTCGGATCCATTTCTTCTAACAGGAGAAGCAGCTACAGCTGCGAGGTCTGAAAAGTTGCTTTCCCTGTTTCCCCCCCCCCCCGCGGCTTCCTCTGTCCCCTTCCCTCCAAAAAGAAAAAAAAAAGTTCGAGGTCTTAAAATAGGGTTCAGAGAATTACAAGTAATCAGATCTGCCGGGGGTCAAGAGTGCAAACTTTTTAAGACTAATGTTTATTTAGAAAAGTGAGTGGTGTTTGTGTTGCTTTTCTTGTGCCCCAGTGCCAAAGTCCTAATGGCTTTAACAGACCTTCCTCTGTCCCCTTCCCTCCAAAAAGAAAAAAAAAAGTTCGAGGTCTTAAAATAGGGTTCAGAGAATTACAAGTAATCAGATCTGCCGGGGGTCAAGAGTGCAAACTTTTTAAGACTAATGTTTATTTAGAAAAGTGAGTGGTGTTTGTGTTGCTTTTCTTGTGCCCCAGTGCCAAAGTCCTAATGGCTTTAACAGACTTCCCATAACAAACTCCTGCTCCCGGCATAGGGACCACCGGAGGGAAAAAAATCGCAACCTTACCCAGAAACGATCCGTTTTTAAGGGGAGGGATGCGGGGGGAGGGAGTTATATGGAGTGATCACCCCCCTCAAATCAGTCCCAGCTTTGCCTGGTTTTGCGTCGGATTAGGAGCAAGTCTCATGTAACCCGACCCCATAAATAATAATCAAGAATTGACTCCGTCTTGTGCAGGCGAAATAACTAGGGGAGGACCCGGGTGTTGGAGCGTAAAGAGATTTACGGAGCCTTCCATGTCCAGATGACATCTCGAAGCAAAGCATCCCAGGAAAACCTTCCATCCCGGGCATCCGCCTGTGACCCCAAACACCGATTTACATTACCCCTGAACACACGTGCAGGGCAACCCAGCTGGCTTTCTCCACGTTCGCTTTTATGTCTTTAATTTTTGCCTACGATGATAGTTTCCCTGCATGAGACCGCGATGTGTGTTTTCCTAACTGGAAACCTCATCAGAACTGGGCAGGAAAAGCGAACGGTTTTTTTTTGGGGGGTCAGTATCTTCCAAGGAAGATCCAACTGGCAAATCAATTTCCAGCCCTTGTTTCTGAAGGGATTCACCTCCCACCCTCTTGCTTTATTGGGCTACGGAGCCGGGAATGAGCCGTAACCTACATGGTAGGGCTGACTCTGTGGTCCCTGGATTGATTCCCCGTGGGGAGAGGCGGTGGGTCTCTGCGCTCGCTCGGGTAAGGCGTGGAACCGGCTGGCGCGGACGCCTCGATCGATGCATTGTTGAGTACACGCGTCCCTCGGAAGTTTTGCAGACTCGCAGAAGGTGGGTGAGCTCGAGGAGTCCTTGAAAGCTCAGTCACCCCTGTGTGGCCCCAGGGCTTTGAAGAGCGCCCCATCGATTTGCCTTCCTGCCTGTTGCATTTCCCCCTTTCGTTAGAGCTAGCCTGCCAGCAATGCGGCAAGGCACAGAGTTAACACGAGGACATAAAAATGGCCAGACTGGGTCAGACCAAAGGTCCTTCTAGCCCAGTGTCCTGTCTGCCCACAGTGGCCAATGCCAGGTGCCCCAAAGGGAGTGAACAGGGAAACGTCATATGATCCCTCTCCTGTCACCCATTTCCAGCCTCTGACAAACAGAGGCTAGGGACAGCATTTCTACCCTTCCTGGCTAATAGCCATGAGTGGACCTAACCTCCATGAATCTATCTAGTTCTTTTTTAAGCCCCCCCTTAAAATCCTGGTTTTCACAACATCCTCTGGCAAGGAGTTCCACAGGTTGACTGTGCATTGGGAGAAGAAAAACTTCCTTTTGTTTGTTTTAAACCTGCTGCCTATTCATTTCATGTGGCGATTTCTAATTTTTATGTGATGGGAGTCTACCTATCATGATTTTATAGATCTCTGTCATACCGCCACCACCCATTTAGTCTCCTTTTTTCTAAGCTGTCAAGTCCCAGTTTTTTAAAATCTCTTCATACGGCGGGGGTTCCAAACCCCTCATCATTTTTATGTGGTTGGTTGAACATGGGCTAACCGATGCCAGACCTGCAGGCCGGGCCAGACCTGCGTTATCTTCTCTTTTGTGATAGGAGGGTTCATTTTTCCGTAGCCACGCGACTTCCCCATGCGACAGAAACATCCACCCTCCTAAGGGATTGGGGGGCATCTTGTCAGCGGCGCCACGGCGGGGATACGGTCCCCATAAGCAACTGTTTGCTGCAGGAAAAACACCCCCTTAACACACGGCGCAGAATCGGGTTATTTACCTGGCCCGTTTGTAACCCCTCTCCCGAACGCATGGACTTCCAGAGTATGGGGGAACTAATCTCTACAGACCCGCAGGACCCCGGTCCAGCTCTCGGCGAACGCTAAAGCAAAAGCTCCTTCCATAATTCGGAGCAGGAGCCGGCTCCCGAACCCGATTTGAAAGGCCGGGAGGCCCAAGAATTTGGATCCCTAGTGGAACTAGAAGTCCCTGGAGTGGCACCTGAGATGACTTTCGCTCGACGTTGCTTCTCTCTCCCGCGTGGTCTTTTTCCTGGCCGGGCAGGTGCCCGCTCACATCTGTCGCCTGCCGCTGTTGAAAGCGATGCGAGTTTGCAATTGGCTCCCGTAGGTGCGCGATCAAAGCCCCGGGGAGAGAGGTTCGCCATCGCGGGAGCGAATCCGAATTCTCCCGGAGGGGCCCGATCCCGCCAACTCTTCCCGGAGGAGTCAGGAGAAATCCGGTCTGGCCAGTAAAGGCTTTCAGGAGGGGACCCGTAGCAGCCAAGCAAGCCAAACCACCTAGTCTCCTCACGGCCTAGTGGACTAGCAACTAAGGCGGGAACCTTTTTTGAGTTGGGAGCCACTGAGCCACAGAAAAGTCAATCAGGGGCGCGCAGCACGGGCTCCCCAAACCTGGGGGGAGAGGGCTGAGCGTGGGGGGCCGGATCCGGCCCCCGGGCCTGAAGTTCCCCACCCTTAAAACGTGTGTTGATTTGGAACGTGTGTTCATGGGACATCTTCAGCCAACTGAACGGATCGCGTGACAGGTACTGAAGGAATAAGTGTGTGTGTGTAAACCAACAGCAATAACAGCAACCCTACCCAAATACTCCAGTACCACCCTGGCGCACTGGCTCTGGGGAGGTGGTGGTAGGAGGTTGGGGATGGAGTCAGCCGGTCCACCAGAGTCACCCTTTGTGCGCCTGTTTCTCTATCAGCCTGTCTCAAATGCAGAATTAATTCGCTCCCCGGGTTTTGCTGGAGCCCAAGGAGGAGTGCCAGCACCTCTCTGAGAGATGCATATTATAATTCCAGTACCACCCTGGCGCACTGGCTCTGGGGAGGTGGTGGTAGGAGGTTGGGGATGGAGTCAGCCGGTCCACCAGAGTCACCCTTTGTGCGCCTGTTTCTCTATCAGCCTGTCTCAAATGCAGAATTAATTCGCTCCCCGGGTTTTGCTGGAGCCCAAGGAGGAGTGCCAGCACCTCTCTGAGAGATGCATATTATAATACCGAAGGGGTGCGTTGAACGGGGCTGGGGCTGGGGGTGAGGGGGAAGGAAAGGGGAGGGAAGGAAAGACGTGGCCTCTGAAGCAGCAGCAGCAGCAGCAGCAGGCTAGGACCTACAGTAACAATGCGCTTTGTGACGTCCTGCCCAGAGAAGTTCTGGTCTCGCTTCCGGCAGGTTTGAAGAGGGCGCTGGGAGAAATCCCAGACTCCTGCAATAGGACGTCCCTTGTGCAAAGGCCACGAAACTGACTTGCGGGTCGCCTTCGCCCGGCAGGCTGCAAGGGACCGATTTCAAGGAAGGCGTGAGGAGTCTGACTCAAGAAATAGTTCCCCAGGGTTGTGCAGGGGGAAATGTTCAAACGCCAGCTTTAGAAATTCATACAGAGAACCACACCCTTCGGTGTTCTGACATTGGGACCTACAGCGAACATGGGCCGGATTGGGCACAAAATGCAAGTGCCAAACACGCAATTAAATTCTTTGCTTCGTACAACGTCGTTTTACCTTTTGTGTGTGTGTAGGGGAGGGTGCTTTGGGGCTGATCTATGATATTGATCCTCCACACGTTTAACATATCAGCTATACTCCTCTTATCTATTCAGAGAGTATATTTCCCCCAATATTAAAATATAACCCAGCCTAAATGTCCAACTGTATAAATCCTATTTCTTATTTTAACTAATATTTTAGTTTTATCGGTTCCAAATTGAACAATTGGACTTTTATTCCTACAGTATACAATGCAGATCATCGTGTTGATGTGCACTTTGCTTGATCTTACTTCTGTATATTCAGCCACATAGTCCCCAAACCAAATGCAATTTAGGAAAACAAGACAGCAGAAGGCTAATTGCTTAGAACTGCACTGTGAGACCTTTGGCAAACTATTTAACAGTTCAGTTTTTTTCCCAAAGGAAAAATTAAGCGTCCCCAACGCAACCCCACCCAAATCCAAACATGTTGGGTATGAACATGTGTGGCTTTAGAAATGACTAAAAGACACTCTCAGAACAGGGAAAAACGATGTTAATATATTCGCTCTCCCAAGGTAAGTGAGAGCAATGCATCATTAAGGTGGATTTAAATGAGCAATAAACATTATTGTTAGGGGGGAGACGCGATATATTTGGAAATGCAGCGTCCTGGCGTATTTAGAACAGCCTCCCCTTTCAGTTTTAAATCTTTGAGGACCAAAATGCTGCTAAATGTGGAGAGGCCTTTAAACTAGTCCATTTATATACACCATTTTGGCCTGGAGGTATAGCCCAGCCAACGTGCTTGTTATTTCGGCTGGATTTGTCCCTCACTTTACAAGCCTTTTCTGCAACCAGTCGTTAGCCCCCAGGAAATATGAGGTAGCCCAGTTCACCTATACCTCGCCCCATCAGTTCATCTGTGAAGCTGCATCCTTTGTCTTTTTCTTTGGGGGGCGGGGGGCTGTACTTTTAAAGCTGCGTGCACCATGCCCCAAGAAACATATGTGCACATAACCCCGAAGAGTTTATATTTACTCCCTCTATAAACACATGCCATTTTACTAGACTCCTACACAGCAGGGGCAAGGTGGTGTCATGGCAAATCCTGCTGTTTCCTTCTAATTATTAGAACTACTCCAGCCTCCCCTTTCACCCGGTATATTATCTTCTGCCTGCTTGTAACCCTTTTATGATTGTTGGACACGTTACCTCCTTATGTACACATCCAAGCCCTTCCTTGCGCCACTGACCTGCACCCCACACTCGCGTCCTCTTAACGATTTACACATGCAGGCTATCTCATCCCCCCCACCCGCCCCCTGAAGTGAAAATAAAGGGAGAAAATGCCCAGGGTCAAATGAATCCCTGCTCCTCCCTCTCCCCCATGCTTTATTATATAAAGTCTTCTGTCCTTAACGGGGTAGGATGACTCTCCTGTAATGCGTTGCATCTGCTGGGATTCAAACAGGGCTGGGATAAATCTTAGAGCACCTCTGCTGGATCTGAAAATAAATAGATGCCTGCTGAATTAAATGCACAGTTCTCTCGGGTTCCCCTTGTGTTTTTGGAGACCGACTGCCTCTGTGGGCCACCTCCCTCCAGAGACCTGCACCCCCTTCGCCCTCCAAAGTATCGCCGAGGTAGATGCACTGGAAACAGGATCTGAGAAACTGGAATTACAGAGAGACTGGCATTTATAAGTTTACAATCTATTCTGTGACTCGAATTCTAGGGGGGTAAAGTTTCAGGACTTTCAGGGTGCTTCCACACTGCACTCAGAGCCGGAAAGAAGTGACACCATTTGAGCGATGCAAATTGTGTGGGTTATTTTGAGACCATTTTGAAATAGCTTTTTTCGAAATTTGGTGCTGTCTATACAGCACTTATTTTGAAATAAATCGCTATTCCAAAACATCCCTTACTCCTTTGTGCTGTGTCTACACTGGGCCACTTATTCCGGAAAATCAGCCACTTTTCCGGAATAAGCTGCAAGCTTCTACACTGGCCCTTGAATTTCCGGAAAAGCAACGATGCTCTACTGTACAAAATCAGCCGCTATTCCGGAAAAACTATTCTGCTCCCGCTCGGGCATAAGTCCTTATTCCAGAACACTGTTCCGGAAAAGGGCCAGTGTAGACAGCCCAGTAGTCTTTTCTGGATAAAGGGCTTTTCCGGAAAAGCAGCCTGCCAATGTAGAAGCTCCTTTTCCGGAAAAACTGAAAACGGAATAGTATTCCGTTTTAAGCAGTTCTGGAAATTCATGCCAGTGTAGACACAGCCCTTTGGACTAAAGTTTAAAGGGATATCAGAATAGCGAACCTGTTATATTTGGAATAATGGGTGTGATCAAAAGACTGGAATAGCTATTAAACAGCGCTGCAGTATAGACCTAGCCCCAATGGAAAGGCTGTCCACTGAACTAAACAAAAATACCATTGCTTTGCAAAGTATCACAAACCAAAGCTGCCCACCTGCCCTTCAGGAAGTTAATTTCCTGGTAATGTTTGCCCTGATATTTATATGTGAATAGCCAGTCTTCAAACCCAGCCCTCAAAGGAAGGTCACTATGAAGCATT